CTCTCTGAAAAATAAATCTATTTTTGGCAAAAAAAAAAGATTGAAGTGATGCTTGGGAAACACCATTCACTTGGCTTTATTCACTTTTTTTTTTTTAAAAGATTTTTATGTATTTATTTGAGGGAGATCACAGAGGGAGAGGGAGAAGCCAACTTGTCGCTGATCAGGGAGCCAGCTGTGGAGCTCCACCCCAGGACCTGGAGATCATGACCTGAGCCAAAGGCAGACGCTTAGTGTAGGGAGCAACCCAGATGCGCCAGGGTGGCACGTCTTTAATTTTTTTTCCTTAAAGGTTTTTATTTATTCATGAGAGACACAGAAGGAGAGAGGCAGAGACGCAGGCAGAGGGAGAAGCAGGCTTCCTGCAGGGAGCCCGATGTGGGACTCAATCCCGGGACTCCGGGATCACACCCTGAGCCGGAGGCAGACGCTCAACCGCTGAGCCACCCGGGCGCCCTAGGAATCCAATTTCTAAGGACCCTTAGACATTTAGTCCAAATTCCGATTCCCCAAATGAGGAAACCAAGGTTCAGGGATGGGAAGCGATCACTTAGCCAACTAGTGGCAGAAGTGGGCCTGGACTGCTGGGGTTTTGACTCCCAACGCAGTGTACCTTGAGCTGTTCTTTGGGGTTTGCTTCAATAAACACCGCTCAGTAAACGCTACACGCCAGGCACCAGGCTTCAGCTTGGAGTAAGACTCAGCCAGCCCTTCAGGAGCTCAGAGGAGGGGGTGAAACAGCGACGGGATGGGGTGAGGGGCGCTAGGAACTGAAGTTTGCAGAGGGTGCGGGGAGCAAGAAGGGCTTGATTCTGCGGGGGGGGGCGGTTGGGGGGAGGGGGAGGGGAAAGGGCTTAGGGTAAGCGTCCAGGTGATGCCCACACTAAGCCTTTTACGAGATAAACAACCGAGGGGGGCCACTGCACGCAGTGAACACGGCCTGGCTGGGGACACAGACGCGCGGCTGCGCAGGAAAGACCTAGGGGCGGGGGTGAAGAACTAGGGCAGAGGGAAGCCGGAAGGGCCTGGTCTAGCCCCCTCGGGGCGCCCGCCTCCCCGCAGGGCAGCAGGCGGGAGTGAGCTGCCGGGCACGCGCCGGCCGGAAGCGGGTTTCTCCAGCGGCGAGTTTGCCCGGGGCGCCCTTGCGGAGTTTAGACAGTTTCCATGAGGCGCTGCTGACACCTAGTGGGAGAGGCCGGCAGGGCTTCTAGGCTTCTCTGCGGCTCGGGACCGCCCGCCCCAGGAGCTGACCTGTGCCTTGGAGGGCCCCACCCTCCCGGGCCGTGCGGCCTTAGGCAAGTCGCCTCCCTGCTCTGGGCCTCAGGCCCCGCGTCTCCCAGGTGAGGATAGGATGTGCCCTGCCTGCGGCCCCGGGTATCGGGAACCCTGAGAAGTCCTGTGCGGGAAGTGGTTTGTAACTGCAGTCCTGTGCACGTGGAAGGGATCGTGGCTGGCACTGTGAGCACCCCCTGAAGAGCGGCCCAGTCCACTCCTAGGTCCCCAAAAGGCACTTACCCAAGTGGGATGTCGGGGGCCCTCAGGCCCAGGGCATAACCAAGTGCAGCAGCCTGGGGTTCCCTCTTAGAATGATCACAACTAAGGTAATCCCAGGGCAGGGCAAGCAAAGACAACAGGCAATACAAAGTTCAGTGAAGACACTGATTGGTCTGACGGTATTTTCTGAAAGCAGAGAGGAGAATCCAGCTTCACGGCACTGTGAGAACCTCTCTCGGCAGCTGCCACCTGCTCCCTTCTGCAGGGAGGTGATGAGTGGAAAATTTTTTTTTAAAGATTTTATTTATTTATTCGAGGGGGGGTGCAGAGACACAGGCAGAGGGAGAAGCAAGCAGGCTCCATGCAGGGAGCCCGACGTAGGAGTCGATCCTGGGTCTCCAGGATCACGCCCTGGGCTGAAGGCAACGCTAAACTGCTGAGCCACGGGGCTGCCCAAGTGGACAAGATTGAAGCCAGCCGGCCCTCAACAGGAAGCTTCTGGATAAGGACAGGGGCTGGGGGCTGAGAGCTGGGCATCACTTGCTTTTCAAGATTTCCTATCACCCTGATACTTTCGTGTCCTGAGAACACAATTCAGAACAGCTACACATGGAACAGTTTTAGATTTTTCTTCCCAGATATGTCAATGCGGACTTTAGATACCCAGAGTCTGGCATTCTGCTCCTTGGCTGGGGTGTGTGTGCTTGTGCAGCGCCCCTCTCCTCCCTCTCACTCACTTTCACACCCGCCCTGGCCAAATACCGCATCTCTGAGGTTTGCACTCCCTAGAGAGTTCTTTTAGGGCAGGCTCTTCCTTTGCTTTCTAGACAAAGCTGAAACAGACAGACCCTATAGCGTACTGAGCTGGGGTTCAGAATGTTCTTACAACCTTCACATTTTGGTGCATTGCTGATAAAAGACAAGGAAATTCCCATAAAGAATAAGTCCAATTCTGGGACGCCTGGGTGGCTCAGTGGTTGAGCATTTGCCTTAGGTTCAGGGCGTGATCCCAGGGTCCTGGGATCAAGTCCTGCATCAGGCTCCCCTTAGGGAGCCTGCTTCTCCCTCTGCCTGTGTCTCTGCCTCTCTCCCTCTGAGTCTCTCATGAATAATTAGAAAAAAAAGAATAAATCCAATGCTATGTTTGCATCCTCTTTGATTGTTAAGGGTTTCTCTGGCATATCTGTGTACCTTCTGTGTCTGATGTTGGCTGTAATATGCTTCGCCACCAACAAAGGCTCTTTTGCCAAATCACTGCTTTTGGGATTCCCACAAATCTTGGTTCAGGATTGGAGACCTAATTGTTCTTTTCAGGGCATCACATGAGAAGATGGCCTAGCAGGTCTTACTTGTGTAAACCCAGGGAACTGTTGCTTTATTAGTTGCAACACATTTTGTTTCCTCTGTTGTCTTGTTTCTTGGCAGTTCTTCTGCAGTTCCAGAAACCATGAAGAAACCAATAGTTACATTTGGGTTAGAGAGAAATAAAATAAAATTCACAATAAGCACGCGAGGGATACCTGGGTGGCTCAGCGATTGAGCATCTGCCTTTGGCCCAGGGCGTGATCCTGGACTCCCAGGATCGAGTCCCACGTCGGACTCCCTGCACGGAGCCTGCTTCTCCCTCTGCCTGTGTCTCTGCCTCTCTCTCTGTGTGTGTATCTTTCATGAATAAATAAATTTTTAAAAAATCTAAAAAAAACAAATAAGCATGTGATTTCAATTATGACCCCGAAGAATTGTAATTCCAACGACAACAGAAAAGGGGGGAAGACAGTGGAACACCGAACATGACTGCCCCAAGAAAACAAACATCTTTCCCATGTATTTAAGATTTTCTTTGGTCCACCTTGCCCAGCCCCCAGCCTGTGTGCCACCTACACCTGGCTGGGCAACATTGGTTTCATTCCACAGAGATTTCTCCTTCTAGGCCTAATACCTTTGCTTTCTGGAGGCCAGAAAACAGGTGGTCCCTTGCAGCCCACACCCCTCTTTACCAGTAAGAGGCTCGACTTGGGGGTAGGGTGGCTCAGGCGGCTCGAGCAGCGCTGGAGTTTGCATCCAGGGCCTGGAAGAGCGGCCCACTGTACTTCCGACTGGGGATGAGAATCCAGGCAGGCGCCGTCAGAAGTTCAGCTGTCGGGGAACAGCTCTGCCACGGTGCTTTCACTCTGAGCGAGGCACTGTTCAAGGAGGCGCCCGCCCTGTGGCAGACGTGTGTGCTCCTGGACGGCCGGAAGGTTCCGAGGTCTCCGGGACCTCATGACAGGGAGTCCGACGTGGGACTCGATCCTGGGAGTCCAGGATCACGCCCTGGGCCAAAGGCAGATGCTCAATCGCTGAGCCACCCAGGGATCCCTCGCGTGCTTATTGTGAATTTTATTTTATTTCTCTCTAACCCAAATGTAACTATTGGTTTCTTCATGGTTTCTGGAACTGCAGAAGAACTGCCAAGAAACAAGACAACAGAGGAAACAAAATGTGTTGCAACTAATAAAGCAACAGTTCCCTGGGTTTACACAAGTAAGACCTGCTAGGCCATCTTCTCATGTGATGCCCTGAAAAGAACAATTAGGTCTCCAATCCTGAACCAAGATTTGTGGGAATCCCAAAAGCAGTGATTTGGCAAAAGAGCCTTTGTTGGTGGCGAAGCATATTACAGCCAACATCAGACACAGAAGGTACACAGATATGCCAGAGAAACCCTTAACAATCAAAGAGGATGCAAACATAGCATTGGATTTATTCTTTTTTTTCTAATTATTCATGAGAGACTAAGAGGGAGAGAGGCAGAGACACAGGCAGAGGGAGAAGCAGGCTTTCTTCTTCTTCTTCTTTCTTTTCTTTCTTCTTCTTCTCCTTCTTCTTCTTCTTCTTCTTCTTCTTCTTCTTCTTCTTCTTCTTCTTCTTTCTTCCTTCTTTCTTCTTCTTTCTTCTTTTTTAAGATTTTTATTTATCCATGAGAGACACAGAGAGAGGGAGATAGAGACGCAGGCAGAGGGAGAAGCAAGCTCCATGCAGGGAACCCGATGCGGGACTCGATCCCGGGACCCCGGGACCACACCCTGGGCCGAAGGCAGAGAGACTCAACCACTGAGTCACCCAGGCACCCCAAAGAGATGCCATCTCTCCTGGCTTCCCCCATGAACACATTTTGCCTACAAGAAGCTTCTTGTCACTTGCCTTCGTGTCTTTCTCCTCCAGGCAGTTAAGAACCCCAGTGCTGGCCCTCCCAGGCCTGGTCTTCACCCCACACCTCTCACCAGAGGCCCACAGCTTCTCAGGAAAGGTGCCGCTGCCTTCACCTGCAAAAGCTTGACACAGAGGAAGCTGACACTACCCCTGTGAGGCTTATCGTCACTGTCCCTCCCCGCCCGGTCCTGCCAGCTCCCCTGCCAGGGAGAAGCCGGGCTGGACCCTACAGTACGTCTCCTGTGGAGGTCCCACTGTTGCTGGGACTGCAGAAGCAGGTGGACACATGGAGGCTCTGCCTCCCATTGGAGGAAATGGCTGTTGCCAGGGCAGCGCCTGTAAACATTCTGTCTGGGGCCCTGGTCGGGGGGAAGCAGCTGGGAGTCTCCTTCTGGGGCTTCCTCGGCCAGGACTGTTCCAAACAAGGATCCGGTCACTCAGGTACCGGGTACTGTGAGGGTGGGAGGGCCCCACAAAAGGCTTTGCACTGCTTCTCCCCAGTTGTCACCCACACCCCCAGGCTTGACCGCACCCCTGACCCTCCCCAGCAGTGCCTTACTTCTGGCCTCTCGTTAGGAAGAAGGGGAGGAAGAGAACTTGGCCAGGCCAGGTGGAGGGGCGCTTAAGAATGATTTGTGCCCACAGACATGGGAGGGCACAACCTGAGCTGCTTCCCCAGCCCAGCTCCCCTTCCCTCCCTCCTGCTGGAATACAGGGCTCCCCAGGGAAGGTTTTAGGAGGTCCTTCCCTGGATGAAATCCCCGCCTCATTTGCCGGGTTCTGGAGGTCACAGATTTGGCTTCTACCCAATTCATCAAGGGGCGATTTGCTGAAACCCAAGTCACTAAATGACCAAGTCGCCAAGTGGGCCATTCATTCTTTAAAGGATCAAGGTACTGTATGGTTAACTCACCCAAGCCTACTAAATTTACCGATTTAGCGAAAAGCTCCATTTTTGTCTTTACAGACTTTGTAGCAAATCGCTGTTGGTCAAATTGGCATAGCCCTTAGGCTGGGGAGAGCCAGTTCTTTAGGATTAAGGGCCTTGGGATTCCCTCATCGGCCACGCTTCAGGCTCTCCTCACTCTCTGGGATGGGTGGCCTGGGAAGGTTCCATCCTCCCCCAGTAGATTGCTTGTCCACTCCCCACCCCCCTGAAGCAGCAACAGGGAACTGAAGCAGATGCAAATCAAGCTTAAAATGCTAATATGCACACCCAGATGAGTGCAAATCAGCATGACCAAATGCTTCAAAGGCTGTTCAATCTGTTCCTGGCCACAGGAACTGGGCTGCCTTCCACAGTTCCCACCACAACCCGGAACCAACAATGAGTAAGAGAACAAAAGCTGACTCTTCTGGAAGGAAGCTCACAGAAAGCCAGGGAGCACATTCTGGACTTCAGATGGAAAAGTGAGAACACGGCCCCACAACCCTTTGTGAATCCTGGAGGGAGGAGAGCGGGGTAGTTGAGTGCAGGGGCCAGGGAGCCAGATGGTCTGGGCATGAACTTGGCTTCCTCCTTTCTCATGGTAACAAGAGACTGTCTGTGACTCAGGGTCCCAGCAGGAAACCTGGCATACTAAGGTAGGGGTAGGTAAAGAAGGGTTAAGTGGAGGGGGTATTTACGAAGATGTGGGCAGACAGGAGGGAAATAGGGGTAAGGGCAGCTCCCCCGTGCTACAACAGAGGGGCCACAGAACTGGGCAGAGACGATAACTGTCCTTACCAGGCAGAGAAGGGAGATACCTGCCCCGGGACATGTGGGGCCTATGCCACACAGCCAGCCACAGGGGACCCTGCAGTGGGACAGCTCCCCAGGCAGTATATCACTTGCCCTCATTCTCCTCCCTCAGCCTGGTCTCCCCATTGTGTGGAACCTCTTGGAAGCCAGAGGGCATGGGAGAGCCCACTGATGCAGTCCAATCAGGTCAGCCTTCCAGGGCAGAAAGCAGGGGAGACAAGGAGGAGGGGATCTGAAAGGGCAAACGGAAGGTGCTCAGTGCACCATCTCATGCGCTGGGGGGGGGGGGGAGTTCAATGAAACGAAGCACATTAAACACCTCAAAATTGGGAGTTGCTATTTAGAGAAGAATAACGAGCTCCCTTTGGAGAGAGATACTCACTTTAAAATTTTTTGTTATTAAAGATTTTATTTATTTATTTGAGAGAAAGCACGAGCCAGGGGGAGGGAAGGGAGACGGAGAAGCAGGCTCCCCGCTGAGCAGGGAGCCTAATGCGGTGCTGGATCCCAGGACCTTGGCATTATGACCTGAGCTGAAGACAGTCGCTTAACTGACTGAGCCACCCAGGCGCCCTGAGATTCCCACTTTTGTACCCCTAATGTAAGGATTGTCTGCAGGGATGCATAACTGTGCTACAAGTGATTTCTCATAAGTGAAGAGACCTAAGTAATAGCCAGGAAAGAAAGAGAATCCAAGACTCGAGGAAAAAGATGGAAGATGTGCAGAGTCCTAGCGGTGTGATGTGTTTCACAATCTCAATAGATGTTAAAAATATTTGGAAAAGTTTAGCGATCATTTATGATAAACCTCCTACTAAAACAGGAGCAAACAAATAGTTTTCTGAGGTGATAAATCTCTCGCCATAAACCAGCATCGAACTTTATGATGTAACAGCAGAAAGCACGCCCACTGACGTCAGACAGAAAAGGATGCACGTTATCTTCGCTTTCACTGAACATTTTTCGGGAAGTGTTAATCAAAGAGAATACTTACGGACGTATATATTTTGGGAAAAAAGATGGTAAAAAATGATAGTTTCTGGCAGATGAAATAATTTATACATCTGGAGATTCCAAGAGAAAAAACTGAAAATCCATCCCCTCCTATGCTATATTGCCCCTAATGATTTTAATTCACTTTATCATTTTTTAAGATTTATGTATTTATTTGAGAGAGAGAGCGCACATGAGCAGAGGGAGGGACAGAGGGAGAGGGAGAGAATCTCAGACTCCCGGCTGAGCAGGGAGCACAATGCAGGGCTCCATTTCACGACCCTGAGATCAGGTCCCGAGCCAAAATCAAGAGGACGATGATTAACTGACTGAGCCACCCAGATGCCCTGGAGCACATGACTCTTTAAAGTGAATTAAAATTGGGGCAACTGGGTGGCTCAGTTAAACATCAGCTTCTTGATTTTGGCTCAGGTCCTGATCTCAGGATTGTGGGATCAGCTCCATGTCACTGGCTCTGCACTTAGCAGGGAGTCTGCCTTTCTCTCTCTCTCTCTCTCTCTCTCTCTCTCTCTCTCTCCCTCCCTCTCCTCCTGTCCCTCCCCCTGCTCCTGTGCGGGTTCTCTCTCTCTCTCTCTCTAAAACAAATAAAATCTTTTTTAAAAAAGAGCCATATGCCCTTAGTCACCTAAGCAGGGATTGAGGTTCTATTAAAGACTCAACTAGAGAGGCACCTGTGGCTTGGTCGGTTAAGCATCTGCCTTGGACTCAGGTCATGATCATGGAGTTCTGAGATCGAGCCCCCGTGTAGGGCTCCCTGCTCAGCAGGGAGTCTGCTTCTCCCTCTTTCTCTCTTCCTCAGCCTTTTCCCTGGCTTGTGCACACTCACTCTCTGTCTCAAATAAATAAATAAAATCTTAAAAAAAAAAACCTCAAATAGAGATCAATATTGTTAGAACTCCAAAGAAGTTAGGATTCATTCTACTACAGCTTGATTAAACTGTTCATGGTTATAAGAATCCGAAAATCCTTGGTTTTCAGGAATAGATCTTTGAAGCTAGGCACAAAGGATAAACCTTAAGGCTTCACGCCTATCCCCACCCCTCAGCCCTTGTTGCCCCCTAGAGGCAACAACCATTTCCTATGTCTTGTTATCCTTCAAGGGGTGCTTTGCACTTAAATGAGTGTGTACCCACACACATGCACACATGCGCAAGAGATAACTTCTCGAGTTTCTTCTTCCAGGCAAAAGAAAATGGACGGGACTAAACATGTCAAAATCCAGGACAAGGATGTGGATAAAAGTCCTATAAGCCAGGAGACGGAAGATAATGGCAATGTGAACGAACTAGCTCTAGAGTTAGCTAAGAACGTTGTCACTACTGCTGTTAAGACCATGGAAGGTAGTAACCCCACTTGGTGGCCTGGAGGACTGTCTCGTTATACAATGCCACACTACCGGGCGACTAACATATTCTCACCTTTTTTTTTTGCAGATGCTGAAAACCCCATCAAAAACATCAACTGGATCACACACGGTGAATTCACGGCAGAAAGGGGCCGTAAACAAATTGAGGAGTTCGTTCTGGTAAGTTAGTTGACCACTCCAGATTGGCATACAAGGGCGAGGAACAACGAAAAGGATTGTTTGATGAAAAGTTTAAAATCCAGAAACCCTAGATGATTTCAGAGGTGACTAAATAAGTAAACATTGTCCCCATCTGGGTTCCAAAATCAACACGGTATAGTTTGAAGGCCAAAGGCACAATCGTATTTCTCTGTTTGTATCATCCTAACCTTACATCTCCCTCAGAAAATCCGACATTCCCAGTTAAGCAAGTTTCCCATGCTGGTACTCTAACTGGGGGCCTCGTGGCCTAAGGAGAGAGCTGCTCTTCCAAAACAAGACTTCTCTATCACTAACTTTCGAAGTCATATTCACAGAGGGGATGCCGATGGATCCTTTTGATTTAGTTTTGGACACAAAGACCGCACACTGTGGTGAATGTGCCTGTGAATTCCTTTTTCTTCTCAGCCTGTGCCTGGCTCTGACCCATTTGTGTGGCTTATCCTGGGAGCTTTAGAGAGAAGGCCCTGGGTTGCTTTGCATAACTGGTGGAGTGGATTAAAAAATGGCTTGAAATCCCTATTCACTGTATTTCCTCAGGAGAGAAAAAAGTTGAAACAGGTAGAGGCAAACTCCTTACCCCTAGGAGAAGTTTCCTGCTGTCTCGGTTTCTCTGGCCAGCCCATCAAAGCCGAGGCCCCAAGGGCAGTTCCTAAGGCCCTAGGAAGGCTCGGTCAGGTGGAAATGAGGTGGTTCCACACCTTCTTATACCCCAGCAGACACATTTCAATTACAAGGGGTATCTAGAGCATAATGAAGATGCATGGTGCAAAGTATTTACTTACTCTTGGACCTTCTTGCTCTGGAGAATGGCTCCCTTTGGAGTTGGGCAAAAGCTTCTGCCTACTGCACCCAGAGTTTGTGAATCAAACTGGAATGGCACATAGAACAAGCAGAAAAAGTTCCCCCTACAATGCCACCAGTTATTCTGAGTAAAAGGCAAAAGTGAGTCCTAACAATGGCCTACAGAGCTTGAAGTGATCTGAGTCCCCTCCTCCCTCCCAACTTATTCCTCAGAGTCATCGCCTACTACCTTCTCCCCTTTCACCTTCCTCACTGCAGCCACATCTGTCTCCTTCCTGTTCTACTGCCAGGCATGCTCCCACCTCAGGGCCTTTGCACTTGCAGTGCTCTCTGCCTGGAACCCTCTCCCCTGTGATCTGTTCTCATGGTTCATGCCATACCTCTCTTGAGATCTTTGTTAAGATGTCGCCTGTTCACTGACTCTGAGAATGACCTGAAGACTAATAGAAGAGCTCTTCCACAGCTAAAGATATAAAGAAAAGGCCACATTAAGAAGCGTAGCAGGGACAGAGACAAAGTTGGGAACTAAATCCCTGCACGGCAACTCACAAATGGGAGGGATATCGCAGGTGTGCAGGTCCTCCCTGAGGAGTGGGGGGTTCAAGCCTCACATCTGGGCGCTATCCACCCTGGAGATCTGCACCAGGAAGATGAGCCCCTATAACATCTGGCCTTGAAAATCAGCAGGGCTTAATCCCAGGAGCTTTGAAAATCAGCAGAGCTGCTTAATTCTGGGAGAACTAGAGTATTGTAGGAAACCAAGACTCTGCTCTTAAAGGGCCCACACACCATCACTCTCTCTGAGACCAAGCAAAGAGGCAGTGGTTTGAAAGGTGCGTGGGCTATTATGTGAAGGAGATTTGTCGGCTAATTTTTGAGTTATGTGCCAGAGGGGCAGGGATCTGTAGGAACTTTCTGTGGGAACAAAAGTACTGGTGGGTACCAGTTCTGACATTCTCCATCTACCTTGCTACCACTACTGACTCCACCCTGGCACTGCCCGCAGACCTACCCTGGTAGGTGCCCCTCTAAAGCAGCTCCTGCCCTGCCCACACCTGGTGCATTGCCTTGGCCAAGACCAGTGTCCCTCCAAAGCAACTTATACCCTGAAGAGGTGGGGGCCCAGGCCTACCTACCAGCATGTCCACAAAAATCACTACCAGGCATTGCAGCCAGCTGGGCCAAGAACCAGCCCCACTCACCAGTGCCCCCACAGCAGTCACAGCTGAGTCACAAGACAGGGCATGTAGCCCACAGATGGAACACCCCTGGAGCGGGGCCTGGTTCTGGTGACAAGGGGTGATTATACTACTGGGCCCCACAGAACACCTTCTATATAAGGCCACTCACTACTTTCAAGACCAGGAGACAGCTGATGTACCTAATATACAGAAACAAACACAAAGAGTCAGACAAAATGAGGAGAGGAAAGGAGAGGAACAAGACAAAACTACAGAGAAAGAACTAAAAACAGAGATAAGCAATTTATCTGATGAGTTCAAAGTAGCAGTCATAAAAGTGCTCACAAAGTACAAGAGTTGGGAGAAGAATGGATGAACTCAATGAAAACTTGAACAAAGAGATAGAAACTATTTTTATTTTTATTTTTTTGAGAGAGAGCTCAAGCAGAGAGGGCCAGAGGGAGAGAGAATCCCAAGCAGGCTCCTCACCCAGTGTGGAGCCCGACATAGGGCTCAATGTCACATTCCTGAGATCATGACCTGAGCCCAAATCAAGAGTTGGACACTTAGGGATCCCTGGATGGCGCAGCGGTTTGGCGCCTGCCTTTGGCCCAGGGCGCGATCCTGGAGACCCGGGATCAAATCCCACGTTGGGCTCCCGGTGCATGGAGCCTGCTTCTCTCTCTGCCTCTCTCTCTCTCTCTCTCTCTCTCTCTCTCTCTCTGTGTGTGTGTGTGTGTGTGTGTGACTATCATAAATAAATAAAAATTAAAAAAAAAAAGAGTTGAACACTTAGACTGAGCCACCCAGGCACCTAAGAGAAAGGAATTCTTAAGAAATGAGAGTAGGATAAGGTAACACTGGAACAACATCAGGCACACCAACATCTGCATTTTAGGGGTCCCAGAAATAAAAGAGAGAGAGAAAGGGACAGAAAACCTATTTGAAGATATCATAGCTAAAAGCTTCTCTAACCTGGGGAAAGAGACATCTGGGTCCAGGGAGCACAGAGAGCCCCAAATAAGAGGAACCCAAGGGGGTCCACAGCAAGACACTAAAACACATAATAATTAAAATGGCAAAAAAGATGAAGAGAGAATCTTAAAAGCAGCAAGAGACTATAAATAGTTACATATAGGAGAACCCCCATAAGGCAATCAACTGAGTTTTCAGCAGAGAGTTTGCAGGCCAAAAGGGAGTAGCATGATACATTCAAAGTACTGAAAAGAAAAACCTACAACCAAGAATACTCTACTCAGCAAGGTTACCATTCAGAATTGAAGGATAAAGAGTTCTTAAACAAAAGCTAAAGGAGTTCACCACGCCACTAAACCAGTGTTACAAAAAATGTTAAAGGGACTTGTTTAAGGAGAAAAGGCTATAATTAGAAGACAACTATGAAAGAATAAATTTCACTGGCAAAAGCAAACATATAGTGGAAGTAGCAGCTTAAATTATAAAGCTAGTATGAAGGTTAAAGACAAAAGCAGTAAAATCAGTTATAGCTATGATAATTTGTTAAGGGATACCCAAAATAGAAAGATGTAAAATATTATTTTGACTATATAAAACAGGAGGAAAGGAGTAAAAATGTAGCACTTTTTAGAATGTGTTCAAAATTAAATGACCATTAAGTTAAAATACACTACTATATATATATAGTGTCTTATATATGAACTTCATGGTAACCACAATCCAAAATCCTATAACAGACACACGAAAGACACAGGAATCCAAACATAACATTAAAGAAGGTAATCAACTCATAAAGGAAGAGAGCAAGAGAAGAAAGAAAAAGAGAAGAACTATAAAAACAATTAAAATATGGGATGCTTGGGTGGCTCAGAGGTTGGCATCTGCCTTTGGCTCAGGGCGTGATTCTGGGATCCGGGATTGAGTCCTGCATCGGGCTCCCTGCAAGGAGCCTGCTTCTCCCTCTGCCTGTGTCTCTACCTCTCTCTCTGTGTCTCTTGTGAATTAATAAATCAATCTTAAAAAAAACAATTAAAATAATTTTAAGTACATGCCTACCAGTAATTACTTTAAATATAAATAGGCTACATGCTCCAATCATAAGACACAGGGTGATTGAACACATGAAAAACCAAAACCCATCTATATGCTGCCTACAAGAGGCTCGCTTCAGATCTCAAGACACATACAGACTGAAAATGAAGGGATGGGAAAAGATATTCCAAGAAAATGGCAGAAAAAGAAAAAGGAAAACTGGAGTAGCAATACTTATACCAGACAAAATAGACTTTAAAATGAAACTTGTAGGGCAGCCCAGTAGCTCAGCGGTTTAGTGCCGCCTTCAGCCCAGGGTGTGATCCTGGAGACCCGGAATCGAGTCCCACGTCGGGCTCCCTGCATGGAGCTTGATTCTCCCTCTACCTGTGTCTCTGCCTCTCTCTCTCTGTGTGTCTCTCATGAATAAATAAATAAAATCTTAAAAAAAATAAAACAAAACTTGTAGCAAAAGACGAAGGGCATTACATAATGATAAAGGGGTCAATCCAACAAGAAAATATACTTGTAAATATCTATGTACCCAACACAGGAGCACCTAAATATATAAAGAAAATATTGACAAATGTAAAGGGAGAAATTTTTTTAAGATTTTACTTATTTATTCATGAGAGACACAGAGAAAGAGGTAGAGACATAGGCAGAGGGAATAGCAGATTTCCTGTGGGGAGCCCGATCCTAGGACCCCGGGATCATGACTTGAGCCGAAGACAGACACTTAAACCACTGAGCCAACCAAGTGTCCCTAAAGGGAGAAATTGATAGCAGTATAGTAATAATAGGGGATTTGAACACCCCACTTAATCAGTAGATCATCCAGACAGAAAATCAATAAGGAAAAAAAATCAATAAGGAAAGTGACTTTGAATGACACATTAGACAAGATGGACTTAACGTATATACAAAACATTCCATCCAAAAACAGCAGAATACACATCCTTTTCAAGT